TCTCCTGTGCGTCGACCACGGGAATGCCCAGCGTAGTGGAAAACCTGCCGTAGTCGTTGTAATGGATGTGCAACACGGAGTCGCGCTTGTCTTCAGACTTGCATTCTGCATCTGAGACTTCCTCGTACTTGAAGCCATGTCTGTTGAGCTGAGCCCACAGTTCTATGGCCGACCTGAAGAGGCCTTCGAGCTTATCGTGACCCTGCGAGTTTTCGAAGCAGTATCTGATCGTCTTTTTTGGCCAGATGCGGGGTAAGTCTGCTTGACCTGGCCGACTCTCAATGGAAAAAGCGCGCTTGCTGAGCGACGAAGTCGCGTTGAGGGTTTCGATGGCTGGGTAGTCAGGGCGAGGGTTTGTACGTTTGTTTGGTGCTTTGGCCTCCCAAAACCTGCTGCCACCAAGAACTCCTTCGGCACTAGCGAGCAAGAAGATGAGAATGGAAAAAAGATGCATGTTGAACGAGTGTGTTGGTAAACGAGTGTATGAGTGAATGAGCTAACGAGTGACTTCCGCTCGAGACGGCGAATTGGTGACTACCAACAACCAAGCAACGGTAACAAGTATTCAAAGATTAATTGCGCCGAGTGAAGGGCACACACAACATACCTGGATCCAAGCGCCATCCGACCCTGGTCTCGGCCTTGCGCAAGGCTGCCTACGCAGGTAGATGCCCATCTCTGTTGGGACCTTTCGCTTACAGTCTCTTTCGATAGAATGCGCCAATAAATTTTGCCGTCGTGCAGTTCCCGCCTTGATGGTCATCCAGTCAGCATACTATGTTAGCTTCAATCATACGTCTCCACTTGTCCCGGTCGTGGTAATCGAAAAGGGCAGGTCCCGACCCCTATCGATTACGCCCTGCTTGCATCCAATATGAGCTATGCTTGGCAGAATCCTGAGGCTAAGGCATGCAATGTAACGTGGTGAAGAAAGAGGATGATAAAACTTTGTCCGTGGCGGCACGGCGGGTTCCTGCAGGTGAGCTTAGCCGCCTTAGCCCCACTAAGAATCTGCGCCGATAGGCTAAATCTGTCAGTTGCACCATCAAGCACTACGACATGCGGCTACGAAGCGAGCATCATCGCCGCTCTACCTGGAAGACCCTGCCGAGACATGCACCCTTGCATCAGTCAGACGACTAGAATGATGGACGGCTGGCCTTAACAAACTCGGCATTGTACTCAATGAGTATTCTAGTATCGCATTCTGGTTTTCGGGCCGCTGGACATCCCCTTACACCTGGACTTCAGGGCTTGTTCATTCGTTTTCGTACATTCATAGCAGAACCAGAGCACTTCGCGATCCGCTTACGTCAAGCTTCAATCTTCGAGGACTGGTTGTACACACTGGTCTCTCGACTACTTCCATAGCCAGCCGCTCGCCTAGCTGCTGCGTCAAGTTCGACCATGCGTTTACTGAGCCAACAAACGCGTTGCCTGGCGGCGGGCCTACTTCTCACAGTCGTCGGTGCCCAAGACTCCAGTCCTACAGGTCCAGTACACCCGGGTCAGCCCGAGAACTGCAACGGATGGCATACCGTGGTCAAGGACGAGAATTGTCAGATCGTGTCTCAAGCCTACGGTATATCCACGGAGCAGTTCCTTGAGTGGAACCCCGCGGTTTCCTCCGACTGTCGCGACAACTTTTGGCTCGACTCGGCCTACTGTGTGAGCGTCGGAAAGACCAGTACCAGACCCACCATATCCTCGCGTCCTACATCCACGTTCACTTCTGGTTCTAGATCATCTTCCTCCGGAATCACTTCTCAGACGGCCATCACGTCAACCCCTGCGACGACGAGCGCTTCGTACAACTCGACTTATTCTGTCTTGCACCCCGTCACCTCGTGGAACGTGTCGACTACCAGTACCGACAATGCATGGCCACCTACCAAGACGCTCGCGGGGCAGACGGAGATTTGCAACTCATGGTACCGCGTTATGCCCGGCGATACATGTCAGCGAACGGTAGATAAGTTCGGTCTAAAATCCATCGACGAGTTTGTCAGCTGGAATCCCACGACCAGTGACGATTGTGAGATGCTTCTCGCCGATTACTGGGTCTGTGTTGGCGTTCAAAGACAAACAGGTAACACGGATCTGATATGGGAGACGGCCCAGCCAGACTTCACCGCGCCTCCCGAGCCCACCGATTACACGCCTGTTACACTACCCACAGCTGATTCGAGTTTTGCACCAATCCCATCGCATGGACCTATGCCGTCCAACTGCAAAGTTTTCCATCAGGCGACAGCCGACCAAAATTGCAATGACATTGTGAAGTTGTACGGCTACTTCTCGCAACAGCAGTTCTTGTCGTGGAACCCAGCACTCGATGGCAATTGCCTAGGTCTTTGGCTCGACACTTGGTACTGTGTTGGCGCATACGCGGATGCTGATCTCCCACTACCCGCACATCAGACGGCCAAACCGACGGAGGGCAAAATCCCTCTGGGATACCCCAACGACTGCGCGCGATGGTATCAGACAACCTTCGACGACACGTGCGACCTTATTGCGCTTATGTTCGGTAGCTTCAGCGAGGCCGAATTCGTGAAGTGGAATCCCTCCGTCTTCGGCGACTGCGCCGGCATCGTTTCAGATGCATGGTACTGTATAGGTCGCCCGGGCACGCCCACTACGCGTACTCCAGGCGCGCCTTCGCCGACGCAGATGACAGAAACCATACAACCGACCGCGACGCAGCCGACAACCACTACAACAAAGCCAACTGAGCCTGTGCAGACACCTTCACCTATCCGCGAAGGCATGGCGGACAATTGTGTGAGCTTTCACCTCCAGCAGCCAGACGAGTTCTGCTACGCGATGGCGACTGGCGCCGGCATCTCCTTGGCGTAAGTGCTTTCCGCGTCCAACCTCTTTCCACGGTCCCTTCTCTTGACCTTAGCTCTACCATCTCGAAGCTCATACTGACAATATCATATAGCCAATTCTACGAGTGGAATCCCGCCGTGGGCAATGACTGCCAGAACCTGTGGCCTGATTACTATTACTGCGTTGGGGTATAATCAGTTTGATGGCGGTGCACATCTAGGTGCAGAACTTGCCGCCTTGGCGCTGTCAAGATGTTGTCAAGATAGCTGTTAATAAGTGTAAATTTGCTTACATGCGGTGATGGTGTCTTGCGACGCGGTGTTGGACCAGATTGTGGATGGTGGATCCGGACTAGCGGCAAATGGTCTTGGCAAACACGCTAGATAGATTAGACCCGTGGACCTCTCGGGCTGGAGACGGTCCAAACCCCGAATGAGAGGGGCAGTCTTTTCCCTAGAACGATGCGCGCCGCCAACGATGTGAAGCCCCTTGCATTGTACATCGGATCATTATGGGCAAGATGCCGTTCCTTGGCGGTTGACGCAGGGGTGACAAACGAGGACGGAGGCGCAATCAGCCCTGGAGCGGCCGCCTTCTTCATAACGCCAGTGCGTCGCCGCCCACATGTCGTGTGCCACACGCGTTCGGGCGGACGGTAGCTACCTATGTATGAGCTTACTGCCCATTGCCTGATCTCTTCTCTGTCCATTAAGACCGTCCTCTTCTCGCATCGCCAACCATGTCCAGGCTCAGCGCATGGCTGAAGAAGTACCTGCGCATCGAATCGAGCCCCAAACCGCCGTCTCCGGACGAGCCGCCGTTTCTACCTCCTTCGCGACGACCGATTACACCGACTTCGATCGACACACCAGCATGCCTCTTCTTCCAGCTGCCGTACGACATCCGAAGCATTATCTTATCCATGGCCTTCGATAGACGCATGCTCCACATGGATCTTGTACAGCAAGCAGGCGCATGGCAATGGAGGGGCCTCCCCTGCGGACGTAATCACCCAGCATGGAAGCCGTCCATGCGATGGCATTGGATAGGCCCGTGGAATGATGCGTGCATAACGCAGTTGGAGATGGACCGGTATAGAAGTCGCGACCCAAACGACCCCGCTGTGCGTTCTGGGGTGTATGACATTGGCGCTATGGGGTTTTTGCTGTCTTGCAGGCAGGCGTACATGGAAGGTGTTGATGTCTTGTATGCAGCCAACTGCATAAGCATCTACAGCGAGCCCTTGCTTCTTCATCTTCCTAGACTGATTCCGCATAACCGACTGGCATCGATCACTTCTCTGGAATTGACAGTTCAGGCACACCGTATTGAGAAAGATGATGGCACAGTGTACTTCAATATGGACCACCTGAAGCCCATTCTCGACAACATCGTCAAATACTGCCCCAATCTCCGCAAATTCTACTTGTCCCTGCTTGTTTACTGGGACCGGCGTGGCCACGATCTACTCACTGGTCCAGCCTTACCTCTACTTGATGCCTTCTGGAGGTCAAAACAGTTGCGCAATATGATAGTCGAGCTGCCTGAACCGCACTTTCGAGCGCTCAAGACCGCTCGGCCTATAACCCAGCATCCACGTGAGGCACCCTGCAGTGGTCCTGGGAAACGTTCGGATTGGAGAGCTTTGGATAGCAAGGAGCCTCAGGTACAATACAGATCTCTCGAGCGCTACCCAAGTCCGCCCTTGAAGCTACCGGTAGGAGACGGCGGAGAGGATGAAGTGGAGAGTGCGGGATACTGGCTCCGCGAAGGTCATGGAGGATTTGAGCACCTCATATCAAATTGTGGTGCCCATTAACGGCAACGTGGTACCAAATCCCTTGGGAACAATCCGAAATCTTAGAATTTAGGCTAGGGAATTCAACATGCTGATCCGAGAAAGCGTTAGGAACAGCTAACGCATTCGAAAATTTGACAATGAACCGTGAGCCCGTGAACCAATTCTAATCTCATTGGCGCAAAGCTAGAGCCTGTCATGCCGGCTTTGCCGCGGATCAACGATGCGCTAAAACTAGGGCTTGTGGCGAAACGGAACGCTTGCTTTTGCCGCCCCATAGCACCTTTTCGCCCAACACCATCTCACTAATTTGTTCGGACAAGCACGAGTACACAGGCATATTCAAGCGCGTGAACCATCATGAACAATGCATGTACTGGGGGTGCTTGCCCCGGACCAGGCCGCACGTGGGAGTCTCGAAAAGCCATTCGCGGCGAAAGCAGGCGGGAGCAGCAATTTTACCGGTACAATCCGACCGTTCATTGTGTTGACAACCAACTCCACAACTATGCTTTGACAGGACTGATGTTTCCGTAAAGGTACTATGGCCCCTTCCGGCAGATGTCTGACTATGGCCCTCAGTACTGCGACGTCCGCATTCCTGAAGCCAGAGAGAAACACAAACCGGTGTCATGTCCCGATAAGATCCTCACAGCCTTCTGTCAGCTGGGCGCTCTGCGGATGAGGGCCCGCCGTTGTTTGATATTCTTCTTCGATGTCAATCACGCCTACATCATGGCTGAGGCGACACAAACACTGTCACTCGAAAATGATGCGATACACGAACCCGGCGATGAGATCTGGATGGGTCACTCCATCATCCCGCGCGATGTAGCCTGTTGTGAGACCACCGTCAACCTTCCTTCATTTCCAATCACTGCAGCAGCAGATGGCGACATTAGGAAAAGCGCATTCGTAGTAAACGACTTGACCAAGCATCCGGATCTGTCTACCAGGCCGTACGTTACTGACTTTCCTAATGGCCGATTCTACGCCGGCGTGCCAATTACTACACCATCTGGAGTCAACATCGGCGCATACTGCATCCTGGACGACAAAGTCAGAGACGGAATCTGTGAGAAGGACCTCGGCTTCTTGCGCGACATGTCGCAGACTGTTGTGAACCATCTCGAGTCTGTGCGAGCCCTCTCAGAGCGGCAGCAAACCAATCGCATGGTGGCTGGGCTTGGAGATTTCGTGCGCGGGACTTCGGGCGCTGCCCGCAATGCGCCGCCAGCAACTCACATGGTCCCAAATAAGGGCGGCGCAGGAGCCCAACAATCCTCCTCTGTTCAGTATCGCCTTCCAGATGCATTAATAGAAACTGCCAGAACACCCGCTACGGCGTCATCACAGTCAGCAGGAGGATATTTCACCAGTCAGTATCGATCGAGTTCGCCGGCCGACCACGCTCAAGTATCCGAGAAGCCCTCTGCTCGTCTCCAGCAATCAAGCGACCACAGCGCGTCGTCTCAAGCAATGAATGGGACAGACGCGCTGCCCGGTGCTAGGGCGCGGACTGCGCCTGAGAATACATCGAAGCGTACTGCGTCTTCGTTGGAAAGGTTCATGACCCGTCCCCCGCCTCGCCCACGAGACGACCCCGAAAGCCTTAATAGTACGTATCAGCGTGCAGCGGAAATCCTATGTCAGTCACTCGAACTAGACGGTGTTGCCTTTCTCGATGCGTCTGTCCGCACATTTGGTGGGCTGAGCGAAACACAGAGTACGGAGTCCAACGAGGGGAGCAACGCCGATAGCGAAGACTCGGCAGGCTCGCTCTCATATTCGGAATCTATACCCAAGCCACGAGCGAAAGATTCAAAGGTTTGCCAAGTCCTGGGATGTGCACAAACAACGCGAAACGACACCATGAGGACAAGACATCCTACGGGCGAGCCTCCCACAAAGTTGACAGAATCGTTCCTTCGTAGGCTCATGCGTCGGAATCCACATGGAAAAGTGTGGAAATTCGATGAAGACTTCAAGATGTATTCAGAAGACGACTTTTCCTCGGATGGGTCTGGAGCGAGCACCCAACAACGGAAATTTGCCCATCGCGATCGACGGAACGATGGAGAGATCTTGCAGCAGGCATTTCCTGGGTCCCGATGCATCGCTCTCAATGGCATCTGGGATTACACGAAAAAGCGTTGGGCAATCGCGGGCCTGTACTGGACTTGCGATCCACTCAGGAACATCGCCAAAGACACCGAGATGCAGTTCGTCGATGCTTTCTGTGACATTATTGTGGCAGAAATGAAGCGTCTAGAGGTGGTAGGCACTGACAAAGCCAAGTCAGACTTCATTTCCACCGTATCTCATGAACTTCGCTCCCCGTTACATGGCATTTTGGGATCGTGCGAGCTGTTATCAGAGCACGGTCTAGACGATGCAGCCACGGCTTTTGTCGAACAAATCAATTCGTGCGGACGTACCCTACTGGAAATCATCGAACATCTTCTTGATTTCGCAGATCTTAAGAGCCGACGTTTGAGAAAAGGTGTTGTAAAGAGCTCAAGAATCAGCCAGAAGCAGCTACCACCCACAGTGACCTCTGCTGCCGATGACCTGAAAGCATTAGACGCGAACATCGAGCTCGATACTTTGACGGAAGACGCCGTCGTATCTTCCGTGTACTCCTTCTACTACGGTGGAAACGCGAAAGATCACACTCACCCTCCGGTCATTCTCGACATTGATCGATCCGATGGGAAGCACTGGCATTGCAGCTTAGCCACGGGTGGCTGGAAGCGTGTTTGCATCAATCTCGTCACCAACGCACTCAAATATACGCCTTCCGGATTTGTTCGTGTCTCCCTGAAGCAGGAACCCAAGGCCGGGTCACGACGACGCTTTGACGCTGTACTTGCTGTATCCGACACTGGGAAAGGCATGTCGAAGAAGTTCCAAAGCGATCATCTTTTCCATGACTTTGCCCAGGAAGACACATTGTCGGATGGTTTGGGCCTGGGCATGCACATTGTCTCCCGGATAGTATACGCGATGGGTGGTAGTATCGACGTTGTAAGCGATCAACATGGCACCGGTACTTGCGTAACTGTGCGTGTACCGCTAGAAGATCATCAGCACAATGACCATCGCACCGAGGCCTCGAACAAAAGCAGCATCACGCCGAAGGTCATCGAAGGCCTGAAGATTGGTCTCGTCACGGGAGCGAATTCCGAAGCCAATGTCGAAGATGGTCCGATCGATGCAGCTTCTGCATTAGCCATCTCTTCTATCGAAAACATTCTCAAGTGCTTGAGCGTGCAGTCCGAGCGATGTAATTGGCGACGCGGCAGTCCATACGACCTTGTGATCGTTATGGAGGCTGACATAAATGATTGCCTTGCGACACTTCGAGATGGAAGATCAGCAGATGTTAGTGCTGCACAAGACGTCGGCCGTCTTCCGTCTGTGCTTGTTATATGCAACAACACTCCAAGCGCACGATTGATGGGTGACCGGTGGGCGACGGACGATCTTCGGTCTCTCCTGACCATGCACCATCTTGCTCTACCTTGTGGCGTCAAACAGGTGGCTCGAACTCTATCGGCCATTGTCCGCCTGCACGAGAAGCGTACAACAGCAATCTCGGAAAAGCCAAAGGCTCATGAAGAGCTGAAGAACAACGACTCAACAACTGGCATTGCACAGCACGATGCCAGTATGCATCATCAACTTCAAGTACGATCTCTTGCCTCATTATCGATCACAAATGCAACACCTGTGGTAGAGCAAGCCGGGATTCGTTCAGCAGATTCGCCGTATAAGAACACAAAAGCACTGCCAGTGCTAGAACCACCGGTAGAGGCCCGACTGATCCACTCGCCGAGCGGCCGCGTGTTGGACCCGAAAGCGCTCTCGCACACACCATCTGTCTGGACGCCCATGCTGGAAGCCCTTCCGATCGAAGTACCCCCCAGCTCAGTAGAGAAGCCAACTACCAAGACACCAACCCTGCTTCTCGTTGACGACAACAACGTCAATCTCAAGCTTCTCGCTGCCTTTGCTAAGAAACATAAGTATCCTCATATGACCGCCCAGGATGGTCAGCTTGCTGTCGACGCATTCGAAAACGCTCACAGAAGTGTCATTTCACAGCAAAACATTGGGTCGCAGGCGATAGACACGGTCGCATCCGGCATACCAAATGTAATCCTTATGGACATCAATATGCCGGTCATGGACGGGTATGAGGCTGTTCAACAAATCCGGGCGTACGAAAAGAAACACCACATGACGGCATCGAAGATCATTGCCGTTACTGCGCTGCAATCGGAAGCCGCGCGGGCTGAAGCGTTCGGTAGTGGCTTCAACATGTTCCTGAGCAAGCCGATCAAATTAAAGGATCTAGCGAAGCTTGTTGTACTGTAAGAGGATAGCTTCTAATTACTATGTTATCTATAATGTTAGCTAGTTATCTTACACATTGTATAGAAACGCTACCTAATATAATTTACGCTTAGTTTTAAGTAGTACTTTGCTAAAACTTTCCGCTATATAGTACTATATTAGCTAATATACACTATATATAGCTTTACTCTATAGACTATTTAATCTTTCTATTATTAATATACTTAAAGCTATAACTTATTTATTTTCTTTTAAGAATTATCTTTAAAATAAATTCTTAAAAGAGTATATTAAGTTTTGTAAATAGAATTCTATTTATATATATTAGTGCCTTATACCTAATTTTATAGACTCTATTTAGTAAAAAGATATTAAAAGATACTTAGCTACTATCTTAGAATAGCTAGAAGATTTTAAGATTTTAAGATATTTAGTGTATATTACTATTAGTACTAATACTTATATAAACTATAACTATAGATATTTATATACTCTCTAGTTAATATAGTAGTTAAGAACTATATAATATAGTAGTAATAGAAATACTATACTAGGTCTTATAGTATCTATTTTTTAATAACTATAATATAATAACTATTTTATAGCCTAGATCTTAATAAAAGTTATAGTAGTTTATTATAGCTACTATTTAATAAATAGTATCTTACTATATAAGGTAACTTATAAACGCTATATTCTTACTATACTAGCTTTTATTACTTTTATAAAGTATTCTAGCTAAAGTATTTCTTTACTAAAGTATAGCTTTTTATAAAGCTAGAGAAAGAAGTAGTATTATCTTATCTTTTACTTTATATACTTAGTTATAAATAGTAATAGTATAATTAATTAAAAGTATTCTTTTAGTAAGATAGTTAATAAAATAGTTTTTCTATTCTATTTTTCTTTTAGGTAAAAGACTATAACTACTAAAAAGCTTATATATTTTACTAACAAGCTTTTTAAAAGTAAAAATAGAAGAAAAAATAATAAAAAGTCTTACACTAACTATATATATAGTAAAGATAATAGAGATAGAAGTAATAGAAATAAAAGTAATAAAAATATTAATAAGCCTAGTATATAGCTCTATACTAGTAAAGTAGCTTTTTAGAGCGCTTATAATAGCCTTTAGTATAGTATAAATATAGTAGTTTATAATAGCCTCTATAATAGCTTCTAAAATAATAATCTTAAAAGAACTTATAGAGTAACGCGTTTAAGAGAAAAATAATTAATTAATAATAAAAGGCTTAATTAAGCTTTAGTAAGCAAGGTAATATAACTAGTAATAAGATTAGCTTTAGACTTACTAACGCTAGAAGAACTTATAGAAGAAGTATAGTAAGAATATAGTTAAGAGCTTATTTAATTAATAAGTCTTTAGATCTTTAATTTTACTATAAGCAATAGAATAAGAATAAGAATAAGAATAAGAATAGAAATAGAGATAGAGATAGAAAGTATATATGTAGTAGAAGTATAATTTTATAAGCTAAGATTTTAGTATTTTATTACTTTGTAATTTATAGCTTAGTTAGTTATAAGCTTTTAAAAATATATAATTATATTATAATTCTCTCTACTATAAGTAGATATTAGTATTTATAAAATAGTTACTTTACTACTCTAAATTTTAAAAGCTTTAACTACTACGCTAGAAGTAGTAGCGCTAGAAACTTAAGCTTTAGTCTATCTAACGCCTACACCTCTAAATATAAGATTTTAACCTTTTTAAAATATGTTTTCTTATATACTAGTAATAGACCTTACTTTTTTTAGACTAGCTTCTATAATAGAATTATTAGTTTACTAATAAATAAATTTATCTTTATATATTTAAGTTATTAAGGCACTTTACTATAGCTATTAGTATAGTACTAAGCTTGTAAAATATATAATTAGATCTAAAGAGAGAGTAAGAATTATATATTAGTAAGTATACTATAATAATTAATAATAAAATAAAGCTAAAAGTATATTCTAGCTATATACTTAAGAGCTAAGTTATTATTAATCTAGAGTTTAATAATTATAGAAATTATTTAGCTTTTTTAAAAATCTCTAAGTAGTAAAAGTATAAATTAGATATAAAAAAACTAAATCTATTAAATTTACTATAAGTAGTATTATTAAGTAAAGTCTAAACTTTAAAATTTAAAGTATAGTAGTAGATAATAGGTTAAATAAGTATTTAATAATACTTAATACTTATAGTAATAAGCTATTACTTATATAAACTTAGTTATATAGCCTAAATACTACTATAATAGAATAAAAAATTAATTTAAATAGTTTTAATTATAGCTAATAGCTATAAGAAGAAAACTACTTAACTAGTAAAAAAAAAAATCTACTAGTAAAATTTAGACTTTAAGCTGTTCTTAAGTAAAGCTTATAGTATAACTAATAACTTAATATACTACGCTAGCTACTTATATAAAAGTATACTAAAGCTAGAATCTAAGACTATAAAAAAAATTCTTTTTTTTTAACTAAAGTTAGATTTTACTAGATTTTATTTATATACTAAAGCTTTAAAGCTAGTATAATATTTATAAAGTTTTTCTATTTACCTAAGTTATACTAGTCTTTAATAATAATACTTTTTAGCTTTATACTTATATATATATAGTAGAGTAAGTAAAAGAAAAATATATTATGAATTATTAAGTAGAAATCTAAATCTTAAGTAGTAATACTTATAGCTTTAAGAGCTACTAATTCTAAGAAAGTAAGAACTATTACTAATACTCTAAAGAGTGTATAACTAAATCTTTTATCTACTCTTAAAGGTATAGCGTTAAGTAAGCTAAAACTTAGAGTCTTAGCGCTACTACTTCTAAAGTAGTTAAAGCGTCTAAATCTTTTAGGCTAGTAAAGAAGCTATTCTATAAGTTCTAAATACTTTATAAAAGAATTATAATATAATTACACGCGCTTATTAGCTTATAACTAATAAAGTAATATATTCTAAAGCTTTATACTTAGAATATATATACTAAAATCTTAGTAAAAGCGCGCTTCTTCTATTTTTTATATTTCTATAACTTTTAGAACTCTAAAGATATATTAAAAACACTAGTAGTAACTTAAAGCTAATACTTAAAGCTATACTATCTAAATAACTCTTTTATAAGTCTCTAAGGTAATTATAAGTCTACTTAAAACTAATTTTATTACTAGTTGCATTACGCTTACTAATACTTAACTAAATTATTGTATTATTAATCTACTCTAATTACTTTTTATTTAATTATATTACTACTATAAAGCTATTATAAGCTACTCTACGTCTACTAGAAAAGAGACTATTAGAAAAACTATCTTAAAAGCTATTCTAGTAGCCATAGAATAAAATATTATCTATAATATAATACCTAATATTTTAGGCGCTATAAAAAGTGTTCTAAAACGCGTAAAAAGCTACTTTACTAACACTTCTATTAAAGCTTCTAAAGCTCTTATTACCACTATCTTATAGATGTATTCGCCTAGCGTAAGACTATTAATTCTTCTTTCTAGATATATTATAAATATTATCTTTTTTAAAGCTATATATTAAGATATTTATACTACGTAAAACTAGAATTTTTAGAATTTTAGAAAGCTAAGAACTTCTTCTTAGAGTAAGATTTCTAGTAAAGTAGTTTATTAAGTTTTAAGTACTAGTAAACTAGTATTAAAAAAAAGAGTATTAAATAACTTCACTTTAACTAGTAATATTTTAAAGACTAAGCTAAAAACTACTAATTTTTTTTTTTAGATTATTCTCTATATTCTTTTCTATTTATAAGTAATTTCTTCTTTAAATTTAGAAAATAATATACTTAAAAGGTTATTAAAGAATTAAATAAAAACTAGAATTTAGACTCTACTTATATTATATAATTTTTTACTAATATTAATAACTATATTATATAAAGCCTAAGTTTAATATCTAAGCTTTTTATCTTAAATATTAGCTAAGTTATACTACCTTAGAGTCTAAATTTTTTAAAATAGTAATTTCCTATTTTTAGAAACTATTTTCTCTAAACTAGTAGTATATGTAAAGAATAGAGAGGTAACAGAAACTATTCTCTAATAATAGAATATAGCTTTGTTAGAACAAAGTAGTTAAATACTATAATAAATAGTATAACTAATAAAGATTATAATAAAGTAATTGCAAAGTAGATAATAGGTAATAGGTAGTAATATTGTTGCTAGGTAAAGAATAACTATAGAGAATTGCTATTTCTTTTATAGAAAATAGCTACTAGAATAATTACGTAAATATCTGCCTATTTCCGCCTAAAGATAAGAATTTATAATTAAATCTACTTAATTTCTAGATTTATAATCTAAGTCTGCTAAATCCTTCTTATCTTCTAGATTTATAATCTAGACTAGTACTAATTATATTAGTCTATGCGTTGTATTGCATAGACTAATAATTAGCTTATTACTAGATTTTTTAGCAATTGCAGAAAGAGAGATAAGAAAGATAAAAGTTATTATCTTACGTAATAACTCTAATAATAGCTAGACAAGGATAAATAGAGGTGTTTTAGAATCTTCTAGTGTAGCAGATTAAAACTAGCTACTACAATCTTAATTACGTAAGCACTTAGATTTACTAGGAAATTTTCTAATTTATTTAGAAATAATAATAAGTGCAATCTTAACAATGCTTAATAATAAAAAGATAATAATAACTAAGTTATTATAATCTTTACAATAATTAACAATAACAATAATTACTTTAATAAAACAGTAATTTCTTCTTAGAATTCTTATAGTCTAGTTAAGCTATATAAAGATTAATTTAGAGATAAACTAGCTCTTAGTTCTACTATTACTATATAGAATAATAGCTTTAATTATAAATTAGACATTTATACTAGTAAAAGTAATTAAGATACTTCTTATGTTAATTTTATTATAAAGAGTATTTTAAATACTAGTAGTTATTATAAAATTAACCCTAGGCATATAGAATAGTACTATATTAAAAAGGTTAAGATTATATTTAGCTA